TAAAGATTTTCAGATGTCATCGCAAAAATTTCAATCGATTTGAAGACAAATCGTGTCGTGGAAAAGTCTTCGGAACGCGAAATGTAACATTGTAAGCAAATCAAGTGAAATGCGATCTTACAAAACCGTGTCTTCCGTTCTCGAGTCATTGATCACTGTCTCGGAGATAACAAGATACAGAATGCAGGCGGATAACGTGATGTACGACTGGAACGATCTATTGTCGTCTGACAGATCAGACAAGACACAGAATCCGAGTCGCAGCAATTAATGCTCGAGCGTTCGGCCCAGTGTAGTGTTGATTATCTGCACAAAACTTAGCATCAGCCGCGCATTATTCCAGGCCCCTTTTATCTGGTCAACATTTTGATCAAGGAAAGCAGAGGACTTCCGAGGAGCCGATGCGAATCTTCGTAGCTACAATGGAGTATTATCGAATCTGTTCAAGTATCAGGATACCGCGTCATCTTCAGTCGGAATATTAATTCGTGGCAATTTCCGATGCACTAGCCAGAGATATTCAGGATCTGACTGTTGTCGATTAGTAAGGACTCGGTAGTTTCCATCTACAGCTCGCACTTAGCCGTGCAACATTGTGCAACGCTTGCACATCGTTATGCAATATATATTCATGTAATCGTAATAAATTGCACTTTAATCTAGAATCACGGGAAATTAGAGTAGAAGCCAGTGAATACTAAAATTACTCAATAATTCTCACCCGAAATGAGGTACTATTACTTCGCTATCAATATTATAAGATCAGGAAGAGGTTTAACTAAGTAATAGTATAGTTTAAATGATTGAAACGAATATAATTAACAAGATCCCACTAGTGCATTTTTAAATCGCCAGTCGCTATTAACTACTCCATGAAACGCAAAAAGGTTCACTCGTCCTTTTACACTTTATATACAATTATTTTCGTTTACTCTCTCTTTGTCCTCTTTGTCTCTTACACTCTCACGTTCACACTATTCCGCCACTATACGCGATACTCGCGAAATCGCGTCCACCTTATTACGTTTGTTTGTATCCATGATTGACATTGTCAGTAATTTTTAGAAAAATCACATACCTTAGACGAACATAGTAATCTAAAACGATCTCACTTTCGTGATTTTTATTTGACCTAAGTTTAATCTTTGCAGAAATTTTCTAATTCCAAGAAAATCTTTTAGTAACAACAGCTACGCAGACTTCCTGAAACTGTATACTACACATTTTTACGAAGAACTAATTACAAAATAATAAGTTTCTAAACAAATGGTCGAGCAATTGTTTAGTTACATAGGTATTGTATGATAATGCGTCTTTAAAGCTCGCGGATGGTGTTACAGAACGAGTGATGCAGGTCGAACATCGTCCGCGAGAAACAATTAGTACCGTGGCGATGTTGCGCTGCCCCTTACGACTCGCGGATGTATCGCGGACGAGTTATCATAATCGGCTTTGACTTAATGCCGAGCATCCGTCGAAACGGAAATCCGATTTCGGTTCCGTGAGGATGTAGAGATCGCGGCTTGGCCGCAAAACCCGTAGTCCCAGGTAGCGCGGCACGCAAACCCCGCGCGCGGTTTGATTTTAAAGTCAGCCAGCGCCGGGCATTTCATATCCGCGTCGTTACGTTAATATCGCCGTACGGAAAAAAGTACGCGATAAAAATTCCCGGCTAAAAGAGGACGGGGGAATCAAACGCGCATTCCGTTTATATTTGGTCGAAAAACTCTGTAAAACGACCGTGTAGCCGGAGTCCACGTGGAACACGAAATTCCTTTCAGCCTGTCAATTCGGTGAAATTGTTTAGTTAGTCGAATATTTCGCTTGAAGTTCTTTAAAAGCCTTTTTATTCGAACAGGAAAAAACGAACGAATAAAGGTAGTAACAAATAAAAGGAAACAACTTGTTTTCTTGATCGTACTGTAGTTCGGGGTCGCGAAAAAATATGTAAAGAGATTTACGGTCGAGTGGACAGCCACGTAGAGAAATAATATACTGTGAGTATATCGTGGCTCTGCGGGAATAGAGTTCACGGGCGTGGTGCGCGGAAAACCACCCTCTGGGAGAACGGAAGCGGAGACAGTCAGCCATTGAAGAAGAGTCGATACTACATATGGAATTTCTTTCGTTTATCTTCCGGTGTTAAACATTAATGGACAATTCAGCGTTTCTCCCTCTGCGAAGCTACAAATGTACATCCGGTTTTAACAGTGCATCGGAAGTTGTCGATACAGGGGATTTCGCATGCGAATTCGACTTACGAGGAATGCACCGAAGCACCAGTGGAAACAAGTCTTTGGAGTCTGAAGAGTTCAGAGGCTAGAGTTTTAGAAACTAAGACGTGCACAAGTAACATTCATAATATTCATCGCTGCTCAGAGTAAGACAAGAGAAGAATTTTATAACTGAAATTAGTAAATTGCAATTAAGAGAATACTCCGACGTAGAAGCAAATTAATACACGCTATCCACCAAACCAAGCAATACTCTAATCACAAGTTATCTAATTTCGTACACTTCGTCACAGGTTCATTTCCATCCAACACTCATCCTATCCTTTCACTACCTGCACTCTATACAAACTCGCAAGGTACTATAATACAAGAAAAACACATAACTTCATCGCAACGTTACCATTCCCTGCAAGTTTTTGGACATTTTTCTCTCCCCTTCTTTCTCACGTTGGCAATCATCTACTTCTTCACTATAATTAAAAGTTTTTCACTCTTTTAGATTATCAGAAGGTCGCTACTCCTGGGAAATCCCCCCTCTCCGAATTAAACCCTAGCTTCTTTAAAAAAAAATTATAATGTTACCACTCGGAGTCTCTCATCTCCATCCAAAATTCAATCCCAGTAGTCCTTCAGCAGATAAACCGCTAGAAACGTTATCTGCGAATTATCGGCTGCTGAGGCGGCAAGGGGGTTAGGCGGCATCCGGATTGCATTCTAAATGAAGACGCGGTCCAGATTTAAACGGGCCGGAATGCCGATCGACACTTCGATTCCCGTGGATCCACCCGGCGCGGCCTTCCGTAAGTCGTTCCGGTTGATTTAGTTAGTTAGCGATTCATAGCCCGGGTACAGCTTACGCCGGGCTGATATATGGTGAGCATTGTTGCGCGGACGACCTCCGCTTTCTCTCCCCAAGAGGGACGCGGGCCAGGGGTTGTTCGCCATCCCCGAAGGCACACCAAGGCCGGCCAGTTTTTGCTCGAGTGCATTAGGAACGCGATATTTCAAGCTCGTAGCCGGCGTTGCTCGCTACAACCACCGCCTTCCTCGTCCCACGGGTATTCCTTCTATCCGCCTCCCCGTCTCCACTCGTCTCGTCCCGTTCCGTCCACTTTGCTCGACTCTTCTCTCACTCGCTCTATAAAACCGCCAGCGGAGAATCCGTTAGGATGCGCGCTGGTTGCTCTAAAAACAATCGCTACAGTGCTCGCACAATTCCCCGGCGGTTTCACGCTGAACACGCTGACCCGCCGACAACTTTCCGGTGACTTCGACTCCCGAGCACCGAACCTCCTTCGGGGCAACGGATCGTACCTTTAATGGCATCTCGCCCGGAGAACTTTCCGCCGTTTCGTGGTTATTATACGCGCGAGCACACACGCGTACCAAGTTTCGGTTTCGTTGATCGTGCCGTTCCGTTGGGTATCTCCGAGATTTCTGGAGAATCGTTTGAGATGCGTTCCGCGCGGCTACCTAGATCCTGCTTCAAGTCGTAGAGGACCACGTACAGAGTAACGTAAAAGATTGGTAGTATCTAATGGAGCTGTGAGAAATGGTTGGAAATTGAAATGTTTATATATGTTTCTTTATTTTCTTTTATTTTATTCATTATTTTGTTATTATCATTTTATGTATTTAGTGCGTGGTATTGTTGGTTTTTAATGTGCACTGGTAAATGACAATTGTAGTGGTCAGTAATAGGCTTTCGAGTATATGTAGATTCTTCTGCGCGTTTCTTGGATTACTCCGTTTAAAAATTTCTTCTAATTTAATTCATAATACTTCATATTCTTAATGACCTTTCTAAAGCTCCTCGCGTTCATTTCCTTTGTTAGTTATTTAATTCTACTCTACTTTCGTTCTTATTTGCGGCGTTTTGAAAAGCGCGTCGTCCCTTGGTTTTAAAGGAAAACATTTTGCAGAAATTTTATGCAGCGTATCCTGTCCATTGTAAGGGAGAAGTATCGTTGCATGAAAAAATGTAAATGTAACTTTTGATAGATTTCTTATTAACACAAAGCTACGGTTCCCAGTTTACTTTCCGCGTACTTCGACCCGAGTGATTGTGAAACTTGGTTCAGTCGAATGTACCGACGAAGTTTTAATCGTGAATTTTTTTACCTGAAAATTAGGGGGGGAGAACAATCTTTGCTCGGAAATTTCACAACTCTTTTTCTTTGAAAAAGTAGTTCTTTCCTTCTATTTTTCACCATTACCTCTTGGTTTTCGCTGCCGTTCTACTCGACCTGTTACACAGCACGGGGATCCAATTTGCCATAGTACAGCCAATAAAACCCGTGTGTGTGGCGAAGCAAAAAATTTCATTTAAGATTTTCCCGATGAGAAACACCATTGAAAGATATGAATAAATTGTGTTTGGAAAATATATAATACTTGTGACGGAAAAAGAAATGTTTTCTCGCAGACTGTTTAATCTTCAATGGTTAAATAAACTGTTGACAGGTAAATAAAATGAAATTTCTTTTATTTATATTCAAACATGTTCATTTTCTCTTGTATTGATAAGGGTAGTACTTAATGTTTACAATGCTGAAACCAATTACACATCCGCTTTGAAATGTTCCCTCCCGCCATTGCTACAAGAAAAACAGAAATCTTATTTTCATTAAAGCTATGATGTAAAACACTCGCTTTGAAAGCAAAGCAGGCGGAAGGACAATAACTTAATGAAGTTGAACAACATTTACCGAGGAATTTTCGTGGCGGGATATTTTATTCATACGCCTCGATGCTATTTTCGGAGGCGCGGTAGTGTGATTCACTCGGGAGTTTCATAATTTTCTGTAACGCTGCTCCGCTTGTATTTTCGCCCCGCTGCCCGACCAACGATACCTCTAACAATAAAAATTATTAGTTTACCAAGTTCCTGTTAACTCTCTCGTTTAGTCGGCGGGCCTCTCAAAGGTTTGTAAATTGTTTCGCCGCTGCTATGCGACTGCAATTACCCGCGCTGCGTTTTTCAGAAATGCTTTTTACTGCTTTTTAACCCTTTGCACTCGAGTGGTGTCTCTCACTCACCACATGATTTCATACAGCAAAACTATAATATTTGATATTTAATATTATATTTCGTACAATTCATCAATTTGAGAAATATTGAAGTAAAATAGCTTTGTTCCTCAATGTACGTACGATTTCTCTTCGAGTTAGTTTCACAAAATATCCTCTCTATCTCATCAGAAAATGTTAAAATATTTCTAATGAAAAACTTCCGAGTGCAAAGGGTTATTGTTCTCTCCATTTTCTTTATAAATATTGTTTCTCAAGGTATTAATATAATTCTTGTGTACGCATAAATAAATTCTGGGCATCGGAAGGAAGGAATGTGTAATTTTCTTTTGTTTTGATGTAATGAATAAGGTTTCATATTTGGTACGTTTACATTCATTCCATTAACAAAATTTCGAAGATGTATAAGATGTGAGATACTTAAGGCAAAAAATATGTTGAAATCTACTACTTAGTTTTTAGATCAGAGTACCAAAATTCTTCTTACTGATCTTAACTAACAGACAGAAATAATTACTCACTCTCTTTCACACAAAAGTCTGCTACAATCTCGATCGTCCAATATTTAAAAAATCCTTCAGTTAATCTATCCGATAGTTCTACAAACAATAATTCAACTGCTAGAGAACCAGTAACATTCCACCTAAAAAAGTTGATGAAATTAAATTTCCCTTAACATACCAAACAGTCACGAGACAATATCCAACACCTCCAATGCAAAAATTTCAACAAAACAGGAAAGAAACCATGAAGACATTCGATATTCTTCGTCCACCCATTATGTCCAACTCTCATCCACTCGAATCTTATGACCGGCTGGACCCACAGCTAACGAGAAAACGGTTGACAGAAATCCCGGCGGTTGGAAGTGTGCCGAATCATGTTCAACGGCGGTCGGGCGAGCGAAAAGTGAGGCCCGACGAAAATCAGGCGAGCGGTGCGCTACCGAGGCCAGAGATTTACGTTCCCGCCGGTGTCGTGTCGTGCGTCGAGTACCACGGGCCAGAATCCTCGCGTAACTAGATCGATAGTCTCGGATTCCGCTCGTTAGAGGACGGGAGAAGCCCCCGCGACGACGTCGTGTCACTGCAGCATCCACACACAGAGGAAGACGGATAGACAGACAGACAGAGGAACCGAGGGAAAGACAGAGATTCAGCCGGCGAACAGAATGGGGCGCCGGTATGGAGAAGATGGAGGGCGAAGGAGAGAGCTAACACGGTGGAAGGTGGGACGGGCCTTTGGGATCGGAGCCAACTATTGCCATTATGTGCGGACCGAACCTGCATTATGTCCGTCGGCCACGGTGCATACCAGATATCCTTGAAACGAGCTGTACGTACAGTTGCTGACGCCTCCTGGAACGTCCCTCTCGGTCGGCCATATTCGAACGAACAGCAAACTTTACAACGCGGTCCCGGCACGTTCGCGGAATTCAAATCGCCTTTGGCCCAGCTTCCTCTTTTTCCGAGCTCCGCTCGACTGTCGAAAGCATTCGGATAAGGGAGCCGAAGGAAAGGACCGCGGGAATCGTTACTGCGAAGCCGGAATTAGGTCTCAGCGACGGTTACAAGGAATCTATGAAGCGAATCGCGCGTCGGTAGGTCCGTTAGGTGTCGTTCCTACCAGCCGCTTTGCTCCAGCAAATATTAAATGTGCCGTGCGATATCGGTGCCCATGGAATTCGAATTGGCCCCATTCGAACCCTTCCCTGGAATAACCACGTTCCTACGGGACCGATCTTTCTTTCACGCTTCCTCTTTTCCAGCTTTCGAGAGGAACTTTGGACCTGTTTTGCGCACGTGGGACCACGATGATCCTTGATGTTAAACGTACCGGCATGTACTGCTAGGAGATCCCTTAATGGCTAAACTGAGGAATACAGCTGGTTCATTTCTTTCATTTTTCGCACACAGTTTATTGTTGGTTTTATTTCCTACTTTCTGGTATTTTCGTTAATTTAGTTTTCGTCAATACGGTTATACGTAAGCAATCAAAACTATGAAACTGTAAACCAAAAGGACATCTCGTACCCCTGTACCGTTCCGCTAGTTATCAAGTCATCTCATAATGGTACTTTGTATACAATTTCTACAAAATAAAGGTAAACGAGTTAGGTGATGAATGTTTCTTTACGGAAATAGGAAGGAAAGGAAAGATAAAAATTGAAAAACTGATTAATCGGAGAAAATAGTAACTTATATACATTTATATAAACGTAAGAGAATATGGAATTTTAAGTTGAATTTTGAAACCGGTCATTTGACCGGTCACGGTACGTTGACTGTTGTCAAGATGTTATGTATTAAAATTAAAAGTAAATTAACGGGTTAAATTAAAAAGTAATAACAAAAAGGTATATATAAAAAGATTGGTTTTATGACCATTTGTCTTTAATAAATTCGTTGAACACTATTGGTCTTTTACATGACTTTTCTCTGTGATCCTTTAAGGCTGGAGATTCTAAGTTCAGTTAAGAGCGTCGGTGAGAATATTGGCGCTAACGCGGGAGGCGATGGATAATCATTGTTGATATAGCCAGGCCGAAATGACAGAAGGGCTAGAGGTGGTCGGTATTCCGCTGAGAATCGAGAAATGGATCCGGGCTCGCGTGATTTTGATGGATGCGGGATGAGGCACGCTTAGTGATCCATAAAGGAACCGCCATTTGTAAAGATTAAGGGAGCACGTGTGTCTGCGATTCTCTAGTTATCGTGTTATTAACATTGTTCGCTGAATGTTTAAGTAATTGTGATATTTTCGTTCGAGGATGTTAGGATATGCAATGAAAATATAGACTTTTAGACATGAGTACGAGATATTACCTTCATATCAATTTTTCACAATATTTTCGTTGCATCAATAAAAGTACACTTTCAATTTCATCAAAATTATTGTATCGACTATCGTAACTATAAACGTATTCATGTTTACACTCATGTATGTGCTCCTTTTAAATTCTTCGAAAACAAGGTTTCACAATAATAAAGTGTAATTCCCTAATTTTTACCTCTCGCAATAGTACCACAGCATAATAAAACAAGAACGCAGGTCGCGTAGAAATTAAACGCAGCACCAACAAGAGCGAGAAACACACACCTACGTGTATACATACCCAGGTTCAGCTCAAGGATTTCGTTGCACCTCATCTCTTGCAGCGTGTTCATTTTTCCATGCATTAATGTTAACGTTTCATCACGGTATACGAGGTAAACGTGTTTTTAATGTTATCGGATTATTTTCAAACGTGTAACTGTTTGTGTACCGCACAATTCCCGTCAGTTTCCAGTCGATAAGCGGGGTTCATTTAATATGCGCCGCCCGACGGATCCAATTCCGTAACGAAAATCGGCAGCCGGAAGCTAAGCAAATTTCTCTCGGAAAATAAATTACCGTGGCGGTTCAATGGGCACGACGATTTTCAGAGGATGCGCGGTGGGTGGGCACGAGAAAGTACGGGCAATAAGTCGAATACGGACTTCCGGCAGGAAACCGGATGCCTGGGACTTCAAAGTTGACGGCAATTGCCAGGCAACGACGCGACCTGGGCTCTCTCGTCATCTCCATTCGAGCCTTCGAATATGCCCCTTCCCTACGGTCGGCCGGGACGCTTCAACGGAATTCAATTTTAATGATTCGCCGATTTCACTCTTTCTTTCGATCGGTCGTCGAGCAATCGATCCGCTCGACCCTGGAAACAGAGGGGACGCCGGGTGGTTAGGCATTCCTGCCCGTTCTATTGGAAATAGTTCTCGGGTGCTACCGCGTGGAAACTTACTACAGAGCTTTCTTAATAACGTGGTTTTCTTGGATCCCGGCTTTCCGGCCGTTCCGTGCTTGAAATTCCGACAATCCCTGCTGATCTTCTCCGCGAGGATTTAGGAAATTTTATGGTTTAGAAATAAGTTCGAATGTATGGATGAGATCGTATATAGTAGTCCGTGTGACATTATATAGCTTCAGTTGTAACTCGAGGAATAATATCCCTATCGCAAGTGAAATTTCATAAAAATTTTAAACAGAGTTTCTTGTAGGTTACTTTCAAATTAGGCGCAGAGTTTACAATTCCAATCTAAAATATTTCAATTGTAATTCGTGGAATAATACGTCTATTGAAAGATAATTTTCACTAAGATCTCAAAGTTACTTCTAGGTACCTTCAAATTTTACAAAGAATTCACAATTGTAATCTGAAATATTCACCAAATATTGCCTCCATAATCCATTTATTTTCTATACTTTCGTATGATATTCAAATTTTTATAATATCACTGGAAGAATCATCTTCGTGGGAAACGAAACACGGGGTTCAACGGGAAATTAAAATAAAAAAATGAGCGACGTTAATGAATCCTATTTACAAAGTCACGCTCGAACGCATTAAGTAGCGAGAAGTCCGCCGGTTCGGCCGCGTCTGGCCAATAATTTCAGGGTAGCGAAAATCTACATGCTAACTTGATTTTGTTTAAGCGGATTCCGTCCGAGCGGGCCGCGATAAAATATTTCAACCCGACCGAGAATCCCGCTGCGGAATTGGCTGAAAACGATTACGTGACCGTCGACGGCGCGGATTGAAGCCGATTATCAGCGACTGCAGGAGAAACTGCAGTCCCCGTCGTTTCGTTCGGACGCGTTCGCTATTTCGAAATATCGGGTAATAATGAGCTTCCGCATCCGGTGATTGCCGCGTAACAGGAACCCGATACGCTGTTTTTGGGGAAAATCGCGTCCCCCGGTTCTCGGCTCGTTTAAAGTGCATCAATTATTCATTGACCGCTGCGCGTCGCGTATTTGCAAATCTGTTTTTGAGCGGAATAATGGCACGAATAACGTTCGACGCTATCGCGCATTATATTACAGGTCGACCGCGTATGTAATTTAACATTCTAATACGTGTGCGATTAACAATGACACTCTAGCCTTGCCATAACGGGGCGAGGAATTATGTATCTGCTGCGCGTTTTCGTGTGGCATTCGACACGAAACTATAATGCTTGGCGGTGGTGTAAAAGGTGAGCTACCTGAGACGGGATTCTAGAGTGTCTTCCTAATTTTTAATTGTACGATCGAACTCAGAGAAGAATATTTGTTTCAAAGTATCAAATGTTATGGTAAATGTTATTTTTATTGATGATTTTGAAAGTGAAAGTAATAATTTCTAAGTAGACGTTTCATGGAATGTTTATTTGTCGAGCATGTAATAAATATCGTCGCCTCAGTTAATTATGAAAATTTATATAAAGAGTAATTAAAAATGGATTGTAATTGCGATACGACTGAACGTGAGGAAGTAAAAGAGGTAAGTAAACTGAAAAAGCATGCTCAAAGGATCTCTTACACTGTGTAAATGTTGGGCACAGCAAACGAGCTATTAATTGATGCGTTAAATACACGTAGCGTGAAAATTCAGAATAGTAAATTCCGCCGCGTGATCGCGAAGACGACGCAACAAAAGGGACGCGAGGCATTTCTCTTGTAAATTGTCTTTCTGAAGTCGTCCTCGCAGGAATGTCTTGATTAAGGAACCGTTTAATAATGACGAAACGCTTCAAGACGAGGGGGAATTGAGGCGTTTCGCCCGGCAACTATAAATCATGGAGTAAAATAGAATGATAGGCAGAATATTTCTCCGAGTTATATCTGCATACTTAGAATGTTAAGAGCATTGAACATGGGCCTTTCTTATCTGTAATTATACTGTAAGAAGATTATTAATTAGTCGATGCGAGTTGACGACTCAAATATATTTCAAACAAAGACTTTCGTTCCAGAGCAAACTTAGAACGTTTCAGTAACGGGTTGGATCCACTTTGAGACATTTACATTCTCGAAGTTCTCATTCCCTGAATATTTTACTTCTATCTAAGAAGCTTAAATAAGTTCACCTCCGTATCTGTAGTCACTGATCTTCGACTTTAACTTTTATTCATGCATTATTTACCTGCCACTACCGATTCGCTCCTTTCTCATTAGTACTA